GCATATAATGCTGGTCCTTAACCGCTTACACTGGCTCCCTGGGCCCAGCTGAAGGTGCTGGTGCTGACTTATAAAGGCCTAAACGGCCTGGGTCCTAGATACCCAAAGGGCTGCCTCTTTCCCTCTATGCCCTCCCACTCTTGAGATCTGAGGAGGAGGTCCTTCTTCGGGAGCCCTCCTTGAACAAGATTAGGAGGGTGGTTACCCAGAGGAGAGCCTTCTTTGCAGTGGTGCCCTGATTATGGAATATGCTCCCCAGAGAGGTTCGCCTGGGACCAACACTTTTTTGTTTGCGGTGCCAGGCAAAAACCATTTTTATTTTCCTGTTATTTTAATGTTTAATTGTTTAATCTGTTTTATATTACTGTATGCATGCTGTGCTGTTTTAATTTCTATTTTACTTGTTGTTTGTTGTAAACCATCTCGAGACACTAGTAGAGGGACAGTCTAAAAGGAATAAACAAACAAACATTGCATAGACATATAACATGCTTCGGTGGAAATGCTTTCCACCAGTGCCTGATGTGGAGAGTGGGCCCATCTCTTGCTCCTTTCCAACTGCTCAGAAAGGTCTGATTCTGAGGAGGAGGAGGAGGCAGAAGAGCAAGGGGAAGAGCAGGCATTCCCTACCTAGTGAAGTTTCCAGGCAGAACCTGAGAATCTGCCTGTTTTGGTAGGGAGGAAGGGTTTTCAGGGTAGGAGGGGAGGCAGATACAAGACCCAATCCTGGACCTGGTAAAGAGGTGATGAGAGCAGCACATTGCCCAGTTAGACAGTATCCAGCATTCCCACCATCCAGCCCTCAAGCACCCTGAGGGTGCAGTCAGAAGCTTCACTGAAAGGGAGGGACAGAGGTCAAGTTTTCCGTTTGGATTCAACTCTTTACATGGCAAGATGCTTCTCCTCAACTTTAGCAGAACACTTTTTAGAGTTCATACTGTTTTGTAATCTGTTAGGTTTCCATAAAAGAATTGTACTTCAAAGGGTTTGTCTTGAGTTTGGTAAACAGAAGGAAAGTAGGGAAGATACCAGCTCATAACCATTGAGGTGCTTTGGATCCAAGTCTGTGTAATAAGATGGTGCTTCCCAAGTCCAGAATTGACAATATAACTTACAATATAAATGCATTAAAATGTACAAAAACGTCTTAACAATACTCAAGCTTCTGTGCAGTCATTCACAAGAGGCATTTAAAAATATGGACAGCACTTACGCTTTGTATGTTAAGAAGGTATGAATGTTAAACTCAAGGGTCCTGGTTATTTCCAGATTTCATACAGAGTTTGGCCTGAGACAAATAAATCTTTGTTTCAATTATTTATTTATTTATAAAATTTGTATGCCATCCAATTACTTGGTATATAATACTTTGCACTTTTTCTGCAGCCTTGCTTATGCTTCCATTCAAGCAGCTGAATGGTTAGCAAGCTACTGATGGCATTTCAGAAGCAGGCAATCACAGACTAGTCCTTCTGTTTGCATATAAGGGGAGCAACATGTACACATTCAAAGTAATGAAAGCAACCACAGTGAGGACAAATAGAGACAAAGTCACTTCAAAGAATGAAAAATTTAATAAACATTCTTTTTTTTAAAGAATATACATTTCCTTATCTTAACATTCCATTACAGTGTTTCAGAACTTCCAACAAAGGCACACTGTATTTCATTCTAACACTTATGCCCCGGCACAGTAGGTGAGTTCTTCTGAGACTAGGTAATTTTGACTTTTTTCTGCAACAGGAGGTCAGTCACTCTTAATGGAACTGAACTGCCTGTTCTTGCAGAAGACTGACTGGAAGGAGGTACACTTGGAGCCTCCTAAGGTCTTTTAATTAATCCTTTATTTCTCACAGCACACTTTCTGATGCTCCAGCAACAATGATTTAAGAACTCACACGTGACACTAGTTGCATTTTAGAATAAACATAATGTTAGTCCACATAAGTTACAAAACAAGCACAGGTTACAGTACTTCATACATCATTCAGTGGTGACAAAAGCTTCTCTTTTCTATTTTTAGGTAACCACCAGTCAACTTCATCAAAAATAATTTGGTAATCCTCACTTCCTTTAGAAACAAATTGGTTCAAAAAGTCAGAAAAGCCCATTCCTTCTCAACTCACCCATTCCTTCTCAACTCACCAAAAAGCACTCTCTGCCTGGCTCGTCATGCTGTTCTTTTAGATGCCATTTTAAGCCCTTTATACTCTGATTTAGTAAACTGGCACTCAGCCAAAGAAGCAGCTTCCTGTAACAGTTGACAACATCACTTAACAGCACTGACAGATATGGCTATCACTCTTCCATACACCTTGCTGAACCAGTCTGCAAGCCCTACCAACACAAGTGAAAGGAGAATCTTTCGCCTCTGAGAAAAGAAAGCTATTGCATTATAGAAATTTTCAGCATTCCTATACAATACACCGTAACTCTTCATACAAGTTCATCAAACAACTTCCTTGCTAGAGCTAAGTCTGCAAATGAAGCAGTAAATTGGAGGTTCAGAGACAGCATACAGAAGTAAGCCTACCACTTCTAGACTGTTCAGGAAATTAATTCACCACAACCATGGCTTCTTTCTGCTCACATAGTTAAAAATCTTACAACAGCATTAATACAAACCACAAAAAATCAACAATTGAAACACATACTTGCTGAGTTTAACACATAATTGATAAGTTTCTTCACCAAAATGTAGACAAAATAGAAGCAACCATTGAACTAACCAGTATACAAGGAAACCAAATTGCATGTTAAGCCCAGGTGATTTAGTGAGCAAAGAACATTAGATAACAAATAATACCATGAATGAGCACAACTTTGAGTACTAACAAATTGTAAATGAACAGTGTTGAAATGAGGGCCCAAGAGACCCAGGTTCTAGTGCCCATTTGGGCCATGAAATTTGCTGGGTTGACTTGGGGCCACTCACAGACTGTCAGTATAGCCAACCTTACAGGGATGTTATTCTGAGGATAAAATAGGAGCTGAGTAAGCCAATTTGGGCTCCACACAAGAAGAAAAAAGGTAGGATATAAATACAATGTAACAACAACACTGCAATGGTGATTATGGTGCAAAAAAGAAAAAAGAAACAGCATGCTTTTTCTTTAAACAACTTTCCATCTCACATAGATAACACAGATACCTGTTCTATTCAAACAATGAAACTGAAAACAATAAGACATTCAAGTTAGAAAAAAACAAAAGTAATCTATCCAACACTTTGTTAGGAATAAATCAGAAAAGAATTGTTCCCTATCCACTTTCTCCACACAATGCAGAATTCTATATTGCTCTATCACAGTGACCCTTGCTCACTCTTTCCCTAACTGTAATCTTTCCTCCTAAGCAAGTTGATCATTGTGGTGGCCTTTTTCTCAGAGGGTGGTTACGTCAATGAAATTAGATTAATTTAGACAGGCTATCCTGTGCTCCGTAAAAGCAGGGCACAATGCAAGAAAATGACTTAAAATAGAAAGCTCTGTGGCAATAGTCCTGCACTGAGAGCACAACTTTGGAAGAATAAGAAAATGTCTGAAGAAAAGTGATGGATTTATTCGATATATAAACTTCTACTACAGCCCTCAAAAATAACATGATACTATATAATCCCTAATGAATGCCAAGAGTTAATTATCTTAAATCTTGACAGCTTTTACTGTTTATTAAAAAAACTGTCAGCGAATAGAACCAGTATTAACAAATTCCTGTATATTTTATACTAAAAGGTAAATTTAAAATATTTCCTGTTTTTCAGCTACCCTAATATATATTATTCATTGCACATATCTGTTTCAAGAAAACACATTTCAAATAGTGCATTGTCATAGTCGTGTCACAAACAGACAAGTACTGTTCAGCAATCGTAATTCATTCTTACAATTTAAATTACTTATTGCAAGTATGATACAATTAATCTCAAGTAATTTAAATTCAACTTGTCTGAATGTATTTCCAAAGAGAAAGCACTTCTGGAACAATGGACAACTGGGCAAATTTAGTTTGCTGCCGAAGAAACTTCTGCCCCCTGCAGTCCAACTGATCCTGTTGCTGCTATTGACAGGTTTGTCAATCCTCCTCAGCTGGCTCAGAATCTGCTACATTTTATCCAATTAACAAGATGACAAACTGAGTGACCTTATTGTATTCAGATACTGGAGTATCCCCACAGAGTAGCCAAGAAGTGGAGTAGCAAGCAATGAATTTTACTGCAAGATAAATAAGATTAAAAATCACTGTCAGCTTACTGAAGGCTATGCCAGAAGGGAAGGAACTTCAAATTGTAATACCTTCTGCTTGTACCTAGTCTGCGGTTGTGGGAAAAGGACTAGAGTAAAGAACTGGTGTGATCATTTAGGGCAAAAGAAGACCAAGAGGGGAATGATAAAAAATTATGAGAAAACCCAAGAGAAAACCATAACCATAAGACAAAAGGCAAATAGAGAAAGGAAGAAGGAACCATCAGCAGTAGAGTAAATCCAAAAGAAAAGGATATATACTAAAATACATATGGAAAACATCATAAAATGTAACAATTGTATTTTGTAATGACATTATACTTTGATTTGATTTTGATCTGTTTGTTAAGCTGTTCCAAGACTTTCGTTGTAATAAGTATGGCTATACATCTAAAAATAAAGGTACTGCTCACAACAGACTCAAACATCATGCTAAACATCTGCTTTGTCAGTCACAGCTGAATGAGCATAAAACACATCTGAACACAACTCAAATGTATCAGTAAAAGTTCTGAGTGCCTAAACTTAATGAAAGTGATCACAGTGTGCTTTGGGTAGATGAACCTTCATCGAGGGGGTTACGTTAGTAAGATTCTTAGAATGCTACAGTTGCTTTAAAGTACTAAGTAGCAATCTACAGCTCCCAATCTTGCAAAATCAGCTTTGCAATTTTATCCATCTCTTCATATCAGTGCCAGAGAAAACACACATGCTAAATATGAAACAAAGGGACTAGAGCATGGAAATTAAACTCACTGAAAGGTAGCTGCTAACATCCACATTATCAGTGATGGTCTGGCGTTCTCCCCTCTGATTAATCTTCCTAAACCTCCGCCGAGATTGTCGAAGTGGCACTTCCCTTTGCAGAATATTGTCTTCATTCTCTTTTGAATTATCCACCTGGAACACATGTTCAGGATCCTGATTAAACATCCAATTCTTCCATATCATTGAAAGTCGATGAAATCTTAAAATACTCATGAGGAAAGTTCAATGTGCACTTGATAGCCTATGCATGTTTCTGAAACTAAAACTACACATCTTCTATGCTATTACAATGACTTGGGAGGCCACAGTTTCCTTCCCGGAAACAGTGTTGAAGAAAAAAAAAAACCAAGCTAGTCTACCTAAGCAGCAATAAAAATTGAATGCAGGCTCTATTAAAAAAATTAAAGTTACACAGTCACAGTTTGATAGTTAATAGATAGCTATTGTATATTGTAAATAGTATTATGTTTCAAAAGCTTGCTTAACAATATGGTTAGAATAAAATCTATTTTAAAATAGCACATACTGGATACATTTCATTTAAAACTGTAGTATTAGGCAACTGAAACTACCTCCTAAAAATCCACTTAATCTATTTTTTCATTTCTAGTTACCACTCACTAATACATTTTAATTGAACCATAATTAGAATACAAAGATAAAAGCGTTTTTAAAAGGTCCAAATGTCCATACTGAAAACTGTTCAGATGTTAGCTCCAACTAAATCTGACAAGACTTAACTTTGTGAAACAATGTTTTGAACCATATTAGTTCAAACTTGCTCCCTTTTCTTGTTCATTTATGCTATAAAAAGCAAGTTTTATCTTCACATTTCCTTTTGAAATCTCAGCAGGAAGCAGCAGAAACAGATGCATGTATACAAACAACTGTCAAGTTTATCTCTGCAGTAATTCAACTGATTTTTTACACGCAGGCAAAAGGTGTGTACCAAGGAAAGGGATACATTTATTTCCTTGGGTACAACCACCACCGCAACTGGCTGAAGTATGAGAAGAATGTTAGCAGTAAACGTATGTTCCTCAAAAACCAGACACAATTGTTTCTAAAATGAGGAAAATATTTCACTATCACAATCTAACAACAAAGGTCCAGCACAGAATTGCATTCCTCTTTACAAACAAGAAAGGAATAAATTGTATGAAACAATTATTAGGGTTCAATTCAGTCATGTTTAAACATTTTCAAATCCAATTAATTTCAAAAGTAAAATTAATCAGGTAGTTAAAATGCCTGATATTGAAATAAATGGATCATACTAATGTTAGATTCTGGATGGGGTGTACATCATCATCATCATCATACAATACTTATTCAAGGATCACTCTATTTATGGGAGGATGAACTTGTGTGTCCCTTCCCTTCCCTTCCCTTCCCTTCCCTTCCCTTCCCTTCCCTTCCCTTCCCTTCCCTTCTAATCCTAGACTGATACAGACTTGCTGGCCATCAATTTCTTCCATGCAAAGAGCCATTGTGATATATACAAAATTAATTTTTTTCAGGCTGTCTGTTACCTGTGATTTATGCAATATGCTGTTTTCATAATGTCAAGCAAGAGGCTATTACTGGTTGCAGTAACAGAGCCTAGAGTTCAAAAGGAAACACGTAGGACAGTTACAAAATACAGCTTACTGCACATCATCTATTATTCAGACCATGTCACCCATCTTTATATGAGTAGCTTATTAACAGTACCTCTGAAGACATCTTCAATTTAAAAGGTAGTCATGTATATGAAAGGGCAAGTTTTTTCTCTTGCTCCAGAGGCTAGGACAAAACCAAAAGGTTCAAAAAATAAGGGGATACTGATTAAACACTGAGAGGAGTTTCCTAATGGTATGACCTGTTCAACAGTGAAGACTGACCCAGAAGGACAAGGACTCTTCTCACAACAGGGTTAAGCAAATACCAAGACTTAGGGGGCCACAGTGGCCACCCTACTGCTTCGAGGAGCTATATCCATCCCCCACTATTGAAAATGGCCATGGTCTTCACAATCCTAGTGATTCTGCTGGTGCATAAGAAGCACACACCTTGTTTCCCAGTAGCACTGCTGGGACTTCAAGGCAGTGTTTGAAGCAGGGACTGAGGAACACTCAAAAAGCCATGGGGCTTTCACCCAACCATGCTACAGCAGTTTTTAAGCAGACACTGAGCAAAGATGCCATAACATATTTCCTGTGTTTTGCACGGGTTAGACAAGCTTTGAGATCTCTTACAACTCCACTTCTATGTTTCAAACACTTAAGAACAGAAAACACTTTTAAGAAGTATTTCAGAACATAGTAATTTCTAATCAGTAATAATCTTACTCCTCAAGACAATGCTGGGGGCAGGGCAAGCTGAAGGTTTAACATTCTGTAGCTCAAAAAAAAAATACTTCATTAAACTCAATAGTTATCTAAACATGGTCATTTCCTGCCCTTAATTTATATAGCAGTTAATATAAAACCTGTCTCGTAACTGTCACATTATATACTCCAAGCAACCCAGCTTTACATTTGAAATATAGGAACAAGCAACTAGGACCAGCTATGAAATGGGATAATATGGTATGCTCCTATTACATGTTTCTGCCAGCCATACTCTCAACCAACGTATCCCATTCTATTCCCATGCTGCCATATTTTCCAGTTTCTCCCACAACAGACCAATGGCTTCTGTGGCCAGTAAGCAAAATCAGCCTTCTCTGAGCTGTTTGAGAGGAGGTATGATCATCTTTGGGGGTTGTAATTTTTTTAAATATGGCTGCAAATTTGGGGCTTACCTTAAACCTGCTGATACCTCTACTCCTGTATATGGTGGTGCCATATCGGCTACATCAGGATCAGCATTGGAGACTTAGTTCATACTATATAGACTCACTTCCCGAAGAGCACCCTTTGGTTCACCACATGTAGATCCTCCATACTCTATCTGCCGAGTACCCAATGACATTGCTATTTGATCCAAACCCTGAAAATACTTTAAATTTCCAGATATTTTTGTTATGATTTGATAACTTTTAGCACCTGCAGAATCAAGAGGTATTATTTCATTCACTTGAGAAAACACACTATTGTTTTTAAGGAATTATGAGCCCATGATAAAGCAACTTTGAAGCAGAGTATTTTTTAAACATCCAAGTACAGGCTTTATTATTGAGAAAGCAAAAGGTTAAGTATGTTTGTTACCAGAAAAGCAAACACAATGAACTGTTAGCAGGAACTACAGTAACTACGCCCACCTGCTTCCTTCAGATATTGCCAGTACTATGAAACTGAAAATATAACTACAAGAGCTGGAAAAAACCCTAGAACAAATATCTTTTGTTGGCAATTTGTTTTGCATTCGGTACTATCATGCTTCCTAGGTACTGTACAGTATGTAGCTTCTCAGTGCTATACAAATACAACCCTGTAGGGCCAAGCATCAAATAAGGTTCTCTTGATTTTACTGTAAAGCATCCAGAGCTTCAAAATCTGCACTAAAAGAAATGAGGTCAAAATTGATTGGCGTGCAGTGCACTACAGCAAAATGGTTGCAAGTGCTAAGCAAATTCATAGAAAGGCCTTACAGGAGACACAGATTCTCTGACAGTTAAATTAATTATCATTAGCTTTCTTTTATACCAAAATGTTCTTGATAAAAATGCTCATAAAAATTTAGGAAGCTTCTTGAATTTACAGTCATAAAATAGGAATGACAGCAATGCTGTAATTCTGCAATATTTATTATGGTAAGAAAGCTTCAGTATATAAGATCAAACAAGGTACGTTGGCAAACTGTGGAATACTTCCTTGAAGAAAGGGACTGAATGTGGCTTCCCCACTCACACTGAGTTTATGCATTTCTCTTGCTTAAATAAATGCAATGATAACAAGATTTTTCAAGAATGTGGATCACAGAACAGCTTCATGGGCTGGCACTAATTTGACTTCCTATGCTAAACAGAAATTACCTTGGGGAAAGAAATGCTTCCTTTCGATTTGCATTATGTCCTCTTATTATGTCTCTTCTGTCAGATACTGAGTGGACTTTGGAGGGAGGAACAGCAGAAGGATTTTACTACCACCATGCCATTCTGTGTTAGAGGTACAATTATATCCCGAGGGAAAGATAACCTGCTAACATTATTTCATGGTTACAAAAGGAATGAGCAGCTGGTGTGTCTGGGAAAGGACAAGCATTACAGAATACCACTGTTGGGTTGTCTGGGTGGACACCCATTACTGATGGAATGTTAGCAAGGGAAATCAAAAACAGTAGAGAATAACAGTAGTCATTTAAATACAGCACAACTCTAAGGGTATCAGTGTAACCTCCCTGTCTTCCAAGGAAAAAATCAGGAATGACTTCCTCTGAAGTGGAACAGTCTGCACTATAAATACAAAGTGCTGCAAAGCAATCAACTACAAGGTAACATCACAAGCCAAAAGATAAATATTTGTTATGATGATACCATAGATCAAATATCTTGGGAATGAGGGAGCAGCCAGGGAGTGTTCTCTACAGTATTCCCTCCTGATAAATAAAAACAAACAAGTGTCCTGGTTTTGAATGGAAGAGGGGCAAATAAATTCATGAAATGGTTAAGGATGGCAGAAATGTGTCCTTAGACTACCACTCAAGAAATCATCATACACCTCCACTGTACCCAACACAGAAGCAGCCAGGAGAACTCTACAGTCAAAGCCTATTACTTTCTGGATTAGAAGAAAACAGACTAACCAACAGCCTTGGAAGACCAACTTGCACAGCACTTTGACAATGAAATAGTTTGTAACTATGTCTAGTTTGATGCCATAGTTTACACAGGTTCAGTTGATGTAACTTTGGCCTCTGAGTGTTTAGTTATACAGAATAATTCTCAATCTGTACAGCCAAGAATGTTGACATAATCCTTGGAAAGTGCTATCATATATGTACCTGACCCCCTGCTCTTCCTAGCAACGCTTCCAAACTCACAGAGCAACCAGCCTAGTGGGCAAAGGTACTGAATACTTCTTTATGGGAAGGCAAACCTAGGAGATGTAGTGGTGAAAACTTTGCTCAAAAACAAAACTTTTCCCTGAACTCTGCAGATTGGATAATGTCCACCCAGTCACCAATATTCCATTTTTGAGAAAAGTTTGGACAGCATGGTGCATCTCAATTCCAAATACTCCTGGATGTGACAAATTAGGTAGATTCAGTTCAATATGGCTGCAGGCCTAGCAACAAGATACATATTACTTAGGCTGTCCTCATGGACAACATATAGCAGTAACTGGACAGATAGAATATGTCCATGTTGGTTCTGTTGGTTCTCTCAACAGCTCTGAGTAGCATTAACTATAAACCCTGTTGAGGTATGGGATGGGACCTGGAAGTCTGTTTTAGGGTATTCTTATCTTTCTTGGAGAGGTCATCCCACTGGGGACATCTTATTTTATACTACAGCCATTGACCACTGTTGTCCCTTTGGTTTTCATCTTGTCTTCCTCCTTAGCTCTTTAACATGGAACTGATAGCCAAGTCTGTCTGGAAATCTGGGGTTCAGGGCACCCAGTATAACCTTCCATCTAAATTCAAATAAGTTCTTTTAATTCTAAATTAGTGTCTGATAACAACAATGGATTAGGTAAAGGCAGCATATAGATACTTTTGACTTATGAGGTACTCCTCGTAAGTAAAAAGGAACACCAGGTAAGAGGGATTCAACCTGTGCTAGATTGGGTTACATGCTCCTTGAACACTCACACTCAATCCAGACTCAATCCGGAACCTGAGTGTCAAAGTTTCAGTGACCATAAATGTGTTTGCATACCCAGAGATGTCTGGTTACAGTGACACATGCTTAACAATATCCCATTTGAACTACTGTAATGTTCTCTATGTGAGGCAGTCTTGGAAAAGTTTCAGAAAGAGAACAGACAAAGGATAAGGAAGATGACAAGCTGTTTGGTTTAAAACAGTAAGCCACCCACCCTTCAGGAAAAGGCATGAAACTCAACAGTAAAGTATGGAAGACGCATGGCCGGGAAAAGAGCCTGTGCAAACAGGATGTCACAGTGGGTAGAGGTAACATGACGCTTTTAGATCAGCAACAGTGTTACAGCAATGGTACTTTCATGGATGTAGTTTAATGTTTCTGAAGTACCAATTGAGAGGAATGTCAACCATTTTTATGAATTCTAACATAGCATACAGTCCCACAACTTATTTCACTTGTTTTGGAGCAAGCATTTTCCCCTCTTTATAACATAAGCCACGCCCTGAGAACAAATGTAAAATTACCCAGGATTTGGGATTAACGAAATATTTTCTTCTTTATTTCAGAAGAAATAAACTCCCAGTATCTATTGCATAGTAATATCTTAAAATAAAATCACAAGCAAGTCATTTTTTTCATTTTATCAAAGTTGTTTGGCATGTAAGCTGGTTTGTTGCTGAAGGGGGGCTTAATTGAATAGATGTTGATTTGTAATAAAAGCATGAAAGGCATGGAGGAGTGTTATCATAGCAGAACCTCTCTTTACCAGGTAAAGTCAGTGTCTTTTAACATATTAATATTAAAATCTGTAGAAAAGAATGCTCAATAAACAAAATGTAGTCTGTCTTCTCCCTGTGCATGGTTGCTTGTATGCCTACTTTCTACATTTCCAATATAATATAGAAATTTATGGCAACGTATCTCCCCTCAATAAAAGTAAGCAAAGAACATATCCTGAAATCTTGGAGGAAACAGATCGAAGTGTAATTAAAAAAAAAACAAGCATTAACCAGAAAGTTAGCACATTATGACTTCTGTAAAAAGATTTGACTTCAAGAAAGCATAAGCTTAAAAAGGTCAGACATACAGAAGATAATCTCCTCTGTAAGAGTGGATAATGATACCGCCACAGAAAAAATAAGGTAGTTGATATTTTCAATAATATCTTACATGATCCAGCTTTAACCTGAACTTGCTGGCAAGGCACAAAAGGAATTTGAAAAATAATAGGTCAAAGGCATATATCAAAGCATCAGCAGTGGACAATAAGCTATTAAAGAACACTTGAAAGGTTAAGATTTCTGGAAACCTATCCTAGGTTTTAAAAAATGAAAGGCATTTCATAAATTAGACTTTTTAAGGAAAGTTTCCCTACCTTTTTATAAAAGAGATTAAGCTCCATAAAAAGGAAATATTTTATTACTAAACTGCTCTTACACTTGAGTAGCTTAAACCATTTTTCTGCGCTTCAAATTGAAACTTCCAATCCATGGCTCAGTGAATGTGCTCTCGCTCTCGCTCTCTCTCTAAACTGTACAACTTCTAATTTTCCCTCCATTTATTTCCCAGCTATTACATTTACACATATATTACTGACAAAAGGTGAAAACCCCCTTAGAGGGTAGCAGAATGTCTCCTAGGATATTTGCTAGAGCCAAGGAAGGAGAGGGAGAACAAGCCATGGAAAGCCCAGTCATCCATCAGATGTTCCATGGACTGTTCCACAAACCAAGTCAGCATGCCTTATTCATACAGTGGCTTATTGGGACATGAGAACCTGCCTATTAAGCAATGCATTTAAACTCCGTATGTTAACCTAAGCATATCAAGCAAAGATACAGAGCATCAGTGTAGTGCACACAGAATTCATTACATAGTTTATCTGCTACACTAGTATGCTGGTATTATCTGTGCCTATATGAACTCCATTAATTTGAGTTACATATGAAAATCCCCAAGAATGACTATAGCAAATCAAGGAATCACACATCTATAGCAGAAACCTCTGTACTAATAGCAAGAGTGAACATGACAAAGAGTATTCCAACCACCTCAGTAAAAGTTTCCAAGAACAGATGTTTAAAGAGCTATCCTTACCACAATCATTTCGGAAGGTTCCAAAACAATACACTCACAACCTCGTTTTCCTCCAGATTGCTTGCCAAAACTATTGGGAAAAGAATAAGAGAGTGTTAGTCCTTATTAACACTAAGCAGCAACGTACCTAGTATAATTTAAAACAGTACCTTATATAATATTTCAAAACTACTGAAGAGTCAATTGCTGCATTCACACAACATGCTAAGCCACCCTGTGAATAAGATACGTGCTGTGAGTTATTCATGGAAACACTTATAGTGCACCTGCCTGATAATCAGGCTCAGTGTGGCCTGTTCCTCAGTCTTCCAGCTGGTATCCCAGTACCTTTTGCAGCAAAACTTGTCTTGACTCCACCTCCCCACTCCACTTCAGCTGGTACTCCCTCTTTGTTCATTCACCAGTGTGTTTTAGAGCCTCAAAGTGTGCAACTACTGCTGTGCCCACCCCCAAAAATTGCACAATCATGTTTGTAAATTTTATTATATTTTGACATTTTTGCCAGTGTTCAAATTTACTTTTACAGCTGTCCAATTCATGTTATCAGGCTTGGTCAATCTTCTGGCATGTTTCAGCTCTGACAAGCATCAGTTCAACACTTAACTATCCCCACAACTCATCATTTATTCTAGGTGCTGTTCTATCGATGATGAAATACTGTTATCTGAACCTAAACAACTTTCTCTTTCACATACATACTACCATGTGAATAACCCCATCACAAATCAGTTACTGATTGTCATGGCAAGAATGGCAAAAAAAAAAATCCTTGCTGCCCTTGTATGGGGCTAATGAGCAAGCACCACTGCTAACAGCCCCCAATGGGCCCAAGGAGCACACTCCTTGTTCAGGGAAAAAAGCCCTTTAAATGTGCATATGGTTGCATGATTTTTTTAGTTAATGCAGTTACCCAGTTGGGGGCATCTGAGGCCTCAGCTAGAGCAGTGGCTGGAGGTGCTTTCTATGAGCTGCCAAGATAGAAACATAGAAACACAGTGAGTCAGAAGGGCTTCCTGGACCATCTAGTCTGACCCCCCAGCTCTGCTCATGACATGACTACCATGTCCATGTCCATGTCCAGCCTATCCTTGAACACCCTCACCGATGAGGCTTCATCCGCCTCCCATGGAAGCCCATTCCATACCCTCGGGGTCCTAAGTGCCTGGAAGTACTTCCTGGCATCTACCTTGAAACTTGGGTTTCCTGAGCTTTGCTCCATTGGAACACATCCTGCCCTCATCCACAGGGGAAAAAAGGTCTCTACCCACCTCCATGTGACACTGCCCACATACCTATATATCACTAACAAGCCCCCTTTGAGTCTCCTCTTCTCAAGGCTGAAAATAGTTTAGTTCCCTCAGTATCTCCTCATATGGCTTACTCTGCAAACCAGTCACCATCCTTGTGGCCCTTCACTGCACTGATTCCAACCTTGTTTATCCCTCTTGTAATCAGGGACCCAGAATTGAACATAATACTGCAGGTGCACCAGAGTCATATAAAGTGGCAGTAATATTTCTCTCAATCTAGAAGCCATGCTTCTGGCTATGCATCCAAGGGTAGTGTTCGCTTTCTTGACCACCGCATCACACTGCTGACTCATGTTTAGCCTACAGTCAACCAGCATCCCGAGATCCTTTTCACAAGTGCTGCTCTCCAGTCACTTGTCTCCTAACCTGTACTTATGACACCCATTCCTATGCCCCAACTACAAGACTTTGCACTTATATGCATTTAACGCCATCCTGTTGTCCCCTCCCACTTCCATAGTCTGTCCAGATCCTTTTGGCTCTGGAGTACCTGCTCTTCAGTTGTGGCCATCACCCCCAATTTAGTATTGTCTGCAAATCTGATCAGAAGACTTGTCACCCCCTCTTCCAGATAATTGATGAAAAGACCCTGCTCATCACTGACCACCGTTCCAATGATTCCCCACCAATAGTTACCCTCTGCTTTCAGTCTGTCAACCATCCCCTGATCTATCAGATGGTGCATCAGTCTATCCCAAAACTCCTCAATTTTCTACTCTCTTCAAGATGAACCAGAGGGTAGAAAAATGGATCTGGGGCTTCAGCTGGGGCAATTATATAATTTCCACACACTTGTGCTGGTTGGGGGGGGGGGAAGATGCCCGCGATCGTGCTGGTTGGGGGGGGGGGGTGGGGAGATGGTCAATGCTGTGCCCGTCTTTCCTGCAGGAACACAGCCATGCCAGGATTTCTTTGAGAAGCACTACCCCAACATAACTGTAATGAACAGAGTGTTGAATCTGACAATACTAATATCGCTGAATCTTATCAACAATAACATGGTCTCTCAATTCCGGAGGGTTATGCAGCGCAGGAAAAAACAAGTGTCTATAGACAGATTTTTCACCAAAATTGACCCTGCAGCTAATAGACAAAGAAGAGAGGAAACCCCTGAAAGAGATCTCCCCAATGTCCTTATGGAGGGGAACTCTACCTCAAAACAATAATCTCCCCCCTACCCAGGTTAGTGTTCTCCACTGTACTGTACAGTACTTTGCTACTTTGTTGTATATCACTTTGTTTCAAATTTTTCTGATTTAAAAAAATAGTTACAGAACAGATTAACCTTATTTACATTTAACCATATGGGGAAATTTGACTTGGCTCCTGACCAAAAATTGGTCGCAACCACATTCTGAGGAACCAGAACGCATTACCCTTATTTACATTGAACCTTATGGGGAAATTTGACTTGGGTAACAACCAATTTGGGTCACAACCAGAGTCGTGGAACAGATTAAGTTCGTGAGCCAAGGTACCACTGTACTGTAGATTGGCAACCCCTAGATAACTTTTTGCTGAAAACCAAGCTAACATGACAGAAGCAGTCCAAATCCAGATTATAACCCATTGTGAAACTGGTTACCCAAGATTTGTTGTCATGTCACACAAACCCAGTCAAAATAAGCTTCAGAAGTACATGCAGTGTGCTCACCTATCAGTTCTGCAAAGCATCAAGAGAAACTGAGTTAAGATTATACACTACAAAAGTTACAAAACACATTTAAAAATCCAGAAAGGTAGCCATATTGGTCTACTAAAGCAAAAATACAAAATACTTTGTGGCACATTAAAGACTAACGAACTTATATCATAAATGTTGGAGAACTACATTAAATGCATGAATTCTTATCCTAGCCTATCTATACATGGTAAGGAAAAGGAAATACATAGTGACAGTAGAGGACAGAATATGGGGAAACAAAATGGTTCGCTGTAGTCAAAATCATCAGAAAAGGCTGTATTTAATTTCCTCATCTGTTCAAGTTTTATGCAGAATGTATCATACATTAGGAACAGGGGAAGGCTTGAAAATTAGTGGAAGATACAGCAATAATTTAATACACAGATGCTACCATATTACCAGTGGAAAGCAGCAATGCTTTGAAAAGACTCTTGAGGAAAGTGAAAGAAAAAAGTGCAAAAGCAGAACTGCAGCTGAATCTTAAGAAAGCAAAAGGCATGCATGACTACAGAAGAATTTTGCAACCTTATGTCAATGATGAAGAAATGGAAATTATGAGAATTTTTGCATTCCTTTGCTCAATCATAATTCAAAGGGAGAATGGAGCCAGGAAATTGGAAAGATTGAGACAAGCAGTGAAGGAACTAGAAAAGACCATCATGTGTAATGATGCTGCACTGGAGGCTGAGGCCAAGATCCATCCATGCTATTGTATTGCCAATCACTATGTATGGGTTTGAAAGCTGGACCATGTTGAAAACGGACAGGAAGAAAATTCATTTGTCCAAAACACGATGTTGGAAGAGAGTTTTCAGGATACCCTGATCTGACAAGTGTTTCTAGATCAAATCAAGCCAGAACTTTACCTTGAAGGAAAAATGACAAAACTGTCATACTTCAGGCACATCGTAAGACTCCCTAGAGAAGACAATCATGCTAGGGAAGTCAGCGACAAAATAAGAGGAGGACGGAAACATAAAAAATGATTTGATTCTAATAAAGGAAGCCACAGCCTTGAGCAGTGCTGTCAAGGACAGGACATTTTGGAGGCAATTCATTCACAAGGTTGCCTTAAGTTAGGTTGCCTTAAGTTAGAGATGACTGAACAGCATGTAACTACAACAAATGGAAATGTCCTGCTGAAATTACAGCAGCAACAATTACATTTTAACAGTGACTGTGCACGAAACAGTTGTTGCTAACACCACAAACATCCTGGCCTGGGATAAGCTAATTAAGATATGTAGCGTGATAAAAATAAAACTACTTTCGGCAGTGACAAAACACTGCCTAGATGGTTTTCTTCGGCCTAAGAAGATAATATATACAAACTAGTCTAATTCTTTGTGCTTTGAAGAAATTATGTTGATATATTTTCCAACACACATTGACCATTCAAAATGGAAATCATATTGCAGGACTTAAAATACACAAAACAATTTAACAGAAAACAGAAATGAACTGTTTCTTTAAAATTTACATTCAAATCAGATGACGTGATTTGTTAAATCTGTATGTTATAAATTTTAGGTTGTAGCTTCATGCTCCAAAATTATCATAAATACCCTTTCACACTACAGTAACTGATATTCTTACATTTCTGTTCCAAACAGCTGGTGGTCCTTATGTTTGTTATTGCATGGTATTTATGCAAAAGTATAAGCATACACATAGTGGCTACCAGAATCTGCTTTCAAACTAGTTTCCCAATGCATGTGTACTTATTCACTCTTTTATTTTTCATCTTTTTAAATTGCCTGATAAACTGAGTTCACTGAGCACTGTACAATGAAAGCATAATATACAGAACGGTTGCAAGAGTCACACGTTTAGAACACAGTGTGTTTGTTTTAAAATGAATGAAAAACTAGGTTTATCTTGAAATCCTGCACTGAGCAGGAGACTGACCCTTTCCAAATCAACTGTTCTGTGATTCTGATTTTATTACTCTAGAAACAAATAATTACATTATCTCTACCAAAGGAGGACTCTGGTAGAGCATGTGCTTTGCATACAAAAGGTGAGTTCCCTAGCATTCGCACTCCTGCTGGGGCAAACCTCCTCCTAAAAGCTTGG